TTTTGGCTGCTGGTTGGTTTCCTTGTTGTTTTAAAAATTATGTTTTACATTTTTATTATTCAGGGTGAAGGTTTGCATGTTAGATGGGATAAATGGAGACGAATGTTTAATTGGGACCTGATAAAATTTGGAGTGAGCAGGGAATTTTTTGTGAAGGGTTTCGGGGAAACCAGTTAGCCGACTTGAATCCTGGAGGGGGGAAGTACAGTGCCTGATTTTATTCAAATTCAAATAAAATTTAAAGTATTCTCTAAAGGGTTTACAATGCTGATTTACAGAAATTTGGTTATTGTGGGGTTTTACAGTAGTAAAAATTTGTGTTTACAGAGTGTACCAAGAACGCTTAGCAGGTAGGCTTTTCGGCGGGACTTAGTTTTATTCAAAATTTAAAAAATTACAAATTAGAGGAAAATTGGTTTAGGCTAATGAAAAACAGTTTGGATTTTAGCAATGTGAATGCTTTTGTTATGGCCAGTACAATTTTCAGTATTGGAGTATCACAGTTTCATTATTTTAAGATTGAGATTAAATTTCTTTTTAGGCAAAGAGTGAGTGAGGAAATGTAAACCCACCAGGGGTATTCGGTATTTAATTGAGGGGGTGTACAGGGAGAAAAGATGTTTTTAAGGGTATTTTTGAAAGATAATGTGCTGCGTTCAGAGTTCTCGGAAGGGTTTCGATAGGCTTTTTGAGGCATCTAAACTGCCATATCTGGGCCTCTCCCAAGACTGATTTTGTGTGAATGATGGCAAGGGTGTTAAATGAGGGTAAAAGTGTTTTTTTTTTTTTGGGGGCTCGAAGTAGGAGATAGCGACGTTTTTGAAAAAAAATAAACATGATATAATGTTTGGACAGAGATGGGTGTATTTAGGCATGCATTGCAAAAAGCTCATTTTTAGAGAGCATTTCGGGCAAACTACACCTAGTTAAGACTAAAAGGGCAATAACGTTGTTTGTTTATCATGCATCTTAAGGGGTCTAATCAATAAATTTGGGGAAATTACAAGGGGGATAAACAAAAATTACTATTTTTAAAACATTTATTGTACATGTTTTTAAAATTTAAAGGGATTACGGGTTGGATTATGATACAATAATGAGGATTCCATGTATATAACACATTTTTTAAACATTCATCATATTTAATAGTGGCAGGTTACGAAATAGAATAAAAATATATAGTTTTTTTTATCTTGTGGAATAAAAACGAATACATAATACTTTTAACCTATGTGTTTCTGGTTTGGGGGAATTGTTTAATATTAACACATTTATCAAAATTTAGCTGGGGGTTAGGACATATCAGGAAGTTGTTTTTTTTATGGAGTTTTTAAGAAAATGGGGAGAGGAGAGAGAGATGAGGGGAAAAGAGAGAGTGGAGAGGAGAGTGAGAGGAGGAGGAGAGAGAGGAAAAAGAGTGAGAGGAGAGAGAGAGAGAGAGTGAAGAGAGAGAGAAGAGAGAGTGAGGAGAGGAGGGAAAAGAGAGAGGAAGGGGAGGAGAGAGAGAGGAGTGGGAGAGAGAGATGAAAGGAGAAGATGAAGGGTGAAGAAGAGAAGAGTGAGGAGGAGAGGAGAGAGGGGAGTAAGGGAGAGAGAAGGTGAAGAAGAATGAAGGGGTGAGAGGAGAGAGGGGGAGAGGAGGGGAGGGGAGAGATGAGAGGAAAGAGAGAGAGTGAGAGGAAGAGAGAGTGAGAGAGAGGAGAGAGAGAGAGAGTGAAAAGGTGAGAGAGAGAGGAAGAGGAGTGAAAGGGGGAGAGGGAGAGAGGAGAGAGTGAGAGAGAGTGAGGGGAGAGGGTGAGAGAGAGAGAGAGAGTGGGGAAAGAGAGAGGAGAGAGAGGGAGTGGGGAGAGGAGTGAGAGAGAGAGAGAAGAGAGAGAAGAGAGAGGAAGAGAAGAAGAGAGAGAGGGGGGGGGGGGGAGATATAGGAGGGGGGAGAGGGTTTTTTTTAGGAGAAAAAGAAAGAAGGGAAGAGGGGAAAAGAGGGGGGGGGGGGTTAAACAAAAAAATTTAAAAAAAAAACCCAAAAAAATTTTTTTTAAAAAAAAAAAAAAATAAAAAAAAATTTTAATTTTTTTTTAAAAAAAATTTTAAAAAACCCCCTTTTAAATTTTTTGTTTTGGGGGGTTTTTTTTTGGGGAAAAAGGGGGGGAAAAAAAAAGGGGGGGAAAAAAGGGGGTTTTTAAAAAAAAAAAAAAAAGGGGGGGGGAAAAAAAAAAAAAAATTTTTTTTTTAAAAGGGGAAAAAAAAGGGGGGGGAAAAAAAGGGGGGGAAAAAAGGAAAAGGAAAAAAAAAAATTTTAAAAAAAAGGTTTTTGGGGGGGGGAAAAAAAAAAAAAATTTTTTTTGGGGTTTTAAAAAAAAAAGGGGGGGGGGGAAAAGTGAAGGGGGGGGGGGGGAAAAAAAAGGGTTAAAAGGGGGGTTTTTTGGGGGGAAGGGGGGGGAAAAAAAAAAAAAATTTTTTTTAAAAAAAAATTTTGGGGGGGGAAAAAAAAAAGGGGGGGGGGGGAAAAAAAGAAAAAGGAAAAAATAAAAAAAAAAAGGGGGGAAAAAGGGGGGGGAAAAAAAAGGGGGGGGGAAATTCCCCCGGGGGGAAAAATTTTGGGTTTTTTTTTTTTTTAAAAAAAAAAAGGGGGGTTTTAAAAATTTTTGGTTTTTTTTAATTTTTCGGGGTTTTTTTAAAAAAGGGGGGTTTTTTTTTTTTAAATTTTTTTTTTTGGGGGAAAAAAAATTTTTTTTTTGGGGGGGGGGAAAAAAAGGGGTTAAAAAAACCCTTTTTTTCCCCCTTTTTTTAAAAAAAAAAAAACTTTTTTGGGTTTTCCCCGCTCCCAAAAAAAAGGTTTTTTTTTTTTTTTTTTTTCCCCGGGTTTTTTTTTAAAACCTCTTAAAAAAAATTTTGGGGGGCCTTTTGGGGGTTTTTTCCCCCGGGGCCAAAAACCGGGGGAA